GTGTAGACTGATTTGTTGAATAAATTCATTACATTTCTTTCTCATTGCATGATTCCCACATCTTTTAAAATGACATCAGCACAAGGAGATACTCGCACGAACCACGTCGAAAATCTCTGTTCAACCATACACGTGCTCTCTGGATCCTGTCGACTACTTGTCCAGTGAGATCATCGTGTGACGAGATGGGGCAAGCGGCTGGGAAGAAGTCTACTTCGACTACAACGACTTCAGCACCAGGAGATTACACATTCGAGTGATGACATGGACGTTGTCTGTCAACCTGAATCATCCACATGCTCTCTGGATCCTGTCGACTACTTGCCAAATGAGATCCTATGGAAGATGTTTGGTTTTCTGTCGGTAAAAGACTTATGTCACCTGGCTGTATGCGGCAAGGCATGGAGGAACGTAACCAACACCAACAGCCTGTGGCTTCATCTTTGTAAGCTGAGAGATTGGGAGCGTTTTGGTACGGAAGTAGATCTCCGCAAAGAGAAGCCAATCCACTCTACAGAGACCAGGAAATGGGGTTCCATTCCAACCTTTCAGGCTGATTCGGTCATTACTGTTGACTGTAACTTGAAGGATCTTGCACCAACCTGTGAATGGAAGGAGGTGTACATGAGAGCTCGGCATCTGGACAAGAACTGGGCTAAGGGGCGTTACCGAGAGCACCTGCATGTGTTGTCTGAACTAAGTGATAGGAAAACAAGTTGTATGGCAAGTGATGGCAGGACATTCGCGGCTGGTGATGAGCTTGGGTTCGTGCGGCTTTGGGATTTGAATAGTGGACGTTTTCTGCGGAAGATTCAACCCTCTAAATTAAACAGCTCACAACGGCCAATGTATGACGTCCGTGACAGTCAGATAAAGCAAATGGCTCTGAGGGATAACGTTGGAGTTGCTGTATTCATGGGAGGCATTCTGGTATTTGAGGGCAGCACAGGCAATGTTATGAAACTGATCCAGGGAAAGGAGAGTGACTTCGATAGATATAAGCCATATGACTCACATTTTGAAGAAAACAAAATCATAGTCACTTATCGGTGGAACAATAACTTTCTCCCTATACACATTTGGGATATCAGTGATTTGGTTCAGGATGTAGATAATGGTGCATGTGTGGAAACCATACTGCAAACGTCAGAATATAATCTTCAAGGATATGCATCCTGGCACTTTTTGGGTTGCTATGGACACTACGTTATCACGAGCCAGTCTACCGAATTCCTCCTTTGGGATACAACACCGCCTAAACTTGTAAGGACATACAAGGGACACAGAGGCAGTGTTTTATGCGGCCATCTTCGTGAAAACACTATTGTGACTGGTGATACAATTGGCGAGATTAAAGTGTGGACAACTGCATCTGAGGTTTGCCTGAACACACTGTCCACAGGCCCAGAACGCCAGCGTTTTATCCGCATGCTTCAGTTTACTGATAAAGTTATTGTTGCCAACGCTAATTTCGGAATTGTATTCTGGAGACGCAATGGCAAACTACATGTACATGAACCGAAAAGGCATGGTTTAGCAATGAAATTAGGCCTACAAGCACAATGCATGGCAATAGACTTGTCACTCACCGATTTGACACTTACCAAGCGACGCCGATTCGAGTCCTGGAGTTATCAACTGGTAAACTTCTTTATGATCACAAGGGATTCAAACTTGGTCCGACGAAGGTAGTACACACGGATGACACCAAAATTGTTATTCATTTGTGTGGTAGCAATCTTGTTAAAATTATTCATTACTGGTAGGAACATGACAACGTTCCATCAGGATCAAATATACACTGAGGTTCTGTTTCTCTTCTTGGTATAGGCACAGGGTGTATCCAAAATCCATTTGATTATTGATTACAATTTTAATTTTAGTCAGTTTTGTTGGTTCTATTTGTATATATTTTTTATTCTTACATATCCTTTTAATAATACATTTGTATGCATGATTTTCAATTACTTCTCTTTTTAGTGTCATTTTAGTTTAGTTTGTTTGACTATTGTTTTAACTGTTTCAGTTCTTATTCATTCATCCAAATGTCATCTTCTGTCCTGTTTGATATTTTCATGCATGCTTGATCGTGATGGCTATATATCTATTTATGTTATGGCATAGTTTTTGGTTGTTTTTGTATCTTGCTTGTTTATTTGATCTTATCTTGTTTGATAGATTTTTGTTCGACGTGTTCTTAATATTTATCCCTTCGTTTAGAAATGGGGTTGTTTCTTGATTTATATATTTTAAGGTATTTTGTGGTTGCTATATTTAAATATTCATATGTTTTGTTTTTTGTTTTGTTTTTTTTGTTCTTGATTTTATCTCTTAACTCCATTGTGCTTGTTTGGGTGTTTGTTTGTTAATTTGTTTGTTTATTATTATTATTATTATTTTTATATTTATTTTTATTTATATTTATTTATTTTTTTATGTTAAATTATAACAATTTTCTTTTCTTTGTGCTAATAGATTTGGTACTGTTACTTACGTAAATTATTGCTTTTTATATATTACTTTTATATATTTAAAAAGAAACTTTTTTAATATTGTTATTTTATTATTTGAGAATTTTTGTTTTGTTTAATGTTTTTATTGGTTTCATTCAATAACATATTTATGATGTAATCAGGGCCCTTAAGAATAGCAGTTTGAGTAACTGAAAAGGCCACCCTGTTGAAATAAAACTATATTATTATTATACTTATAAACAATGAGTTTATAAAACGTATGGTGCACGTACACCATCAAAGTGGCTCCATGGTCTTCAAGGGTAGTCAATTTGCTTCCCGCATTCTAGTTCGCATCTTTTCCGTCATGGATGACCGAACACCCTTGATGTAAAAGAAAAGGCGATTATCTTTACTCCATTGGAATCGGATTGCCATTTGCAGATACGCCCTTTATAATGTAAATTTGTTTCGTTTATATGTTTGTCTGACCACATACAGGTACAATGTGAGTCAAAAAGGGAGCTACCTGGATTAATTATATTTGATACATCAATGAAGGAAACATTAAACGAGCAAGTTCTTCCAATTGTGGAACAAAATGCTAAATGTTTTGAAGCTTTTGCTCAGCAAGAGAACCAGAGACTGCACACAGACATTGAGATTGCAATAATTTGAGTGAAGATTGATTTTTTAAATGATGATGGTGATATTTTGTCTGTTGTCCTTTGCAAGTTGTCATTCAATCATGCAGGTAGGAAATACCCCATGATTCGTCTTGTATGTATTACTGATTGTGCATTGGAAAAAAATGGTGGACCATGAGCTAAATTTTGTGGCAATCTATTTAAACAGAAATAACTTTTGATTGCAGTGTAATGTGAATTTTTCACAGTTACGTTAAGGAGAAAGGACGAGGAACTGTAGATTCGTGCTAAGAATGACGAGGCGAAGCCAAGTCCATTCTTAGCACGAATCTACAGTTCCTCGTCCATTCTCCTTAACTTAACTTGTACTTATTCCTAAACAAGTGAAGCTGTTAAAGGAGCATGACGATGATTGGATTCTGGAAGGTCACCTGAGGTCAAGTATGACATTTTCAATCTGATCATTTTCATGGCCCAAAGACCAATTACGTAGACTTGGGTCACATGCGTGGGCGTGGCCAGGACTTTTTTTCTAGAGGAGGACACAACTCTCAAAATCATTGTACTTTCTGTAGCATATTCTTCAATTTATCGGGGTTTTTTTCGGGGATGGGCTGGGGGACACCCCTGCGGACGCCAATGTTGTTAAATATGCATTGACTTCGCGCCTCGTGTGCTTCCTTTCCCCTTTTCCCCATTCCATGCGAAGTTTCTTGCTTTAGTCACTATTTTTTTAATGAAATGGAGCAAGCCACTTAAAAAAACAATAATAATAATTACCTTTTCTAAACCCGATTACTTAAATTTAATGACGAAGTTATTAATGTGTGTGCCTACTTATGCGTATCATGTAATAACATATAGGCCCATACCTATCAATGAGTACGGCCCGGCGCAGGGGTATATGCGCACATTATTTCAACGCTGATAGAGCAAACATAGCAGTTGATCTTATTCCCCGAATCAACCAACCGCTTTTCAGTTAGCTGATCCAATGTGTACAGAGACATCTGGGGCCGAATTAAAGACCTGCATTATTTTTACGAAACGTCTGTTTTTGTTGTCTGATTATCGGAACATAAACGTGGTGTCATTGTCAATTGCAATTATTCAACGCACTGCTCATAATAGTATCTTCAGGCACATATAGGTCTACATGTATATGCTTTTAAGAACATTTTCTGACTGGTAAGGAAGTGTTTGCACTCAAGTTGCAGCAGTTCAATAAATTTTATTTTTTTTATGTTCATGACATACACGCTCTTGCTGCAGATTGTCCTTCACAGAGAACCATTGTAACAGTTGAGGTCACAAGCGGCCATGCAGGATGACGCAGCCATGCATGCACGTACGCTGTGGTCACAAGGGTGCACATCGGTAAATAGGCCTAAACCCATCCGCCGAGCTCATGAATAAAAGTTATACCCTCAAAATATTCTATATTAGAGAGTTCTGAGAGCCATACAATTGCGGAATTGAAGAGATATGACGAAGAATCTTTGGCCCGGACTTGGGGCTTCCAATTCTGAGCATTTTGGATGCTATTGGGCTCGAAAGCGGTGCTATTTTGCTTTGTAGTTGGAGGTATAGTTTTTCAAGATGGCTTCCTTTTTACTTTGGGGAAAATAGGGGTTGTCTTCTTTGGGTGAGAATTTCTCGAAAAGTCAATGGTCAACCCACAAAAAAATGAAAAGAAAAATGAAAGATGACATGTTGATCAACATTTTTCTGTGCAGCTTAAATACCTGTAAGAGTTTTGAGTATTTTAAAAAGAATTTTGAAGTATGGGCATTTAGCGCTGCACCCACAAGGTCACAGCTGCATACCGCCCTCAATAGCTACTTGGTTGAGAACGAAACCTATAGTCAGCACCCTGTTGTGCATTTGTATTATTTTGTTGTGTCTTTGAATTCGTGACCAGACTTCACATTGAGGAACGGAGGTGAGCAATAATCACGTTCCCCGACGGGCCGAAAATTTCAATGATTTGCCAGAGAGGCATGTTTCTTTCACATCGGAATGAGAAGGAATTAGTTTGCCAGGGTGAGTTGAGATTTTTGTCAAAAATTTATTTTCACGTTACCGACATCAGACTAGTCTATCGCCACCATCTACTCAGTCTCAGCTCATCTGATGCCTGAACAGGAAACAGGTCAACTCGTTCGCGAACCAACTCGTACGCGAGACAACTCGTACGCGGATTGGTCAACTCGTACGCGAGACAACTCGTACGCGAACCAACTCGTACGCGTTCCAACTCGTACGCGAGCCAACTCGTACGCGAACCAACTCGTACGCGAACCAACTCGTACGCGGGCCGAAATAGGAGTGGTTTCGAGGATTGGGTTGGCATGGTTGGGAATAGCCCCACTAGTGTGGCGGTCGGTATGCTGCGCTGAACCTAAGGCCACACACTGCGGTCCGCGCATTACTGAGGACGTTTTCATAAAATTTGCAGGGAATTTCTTACATATGGTTGTATTCTACGATGTCCCATCTATCACTTCTGGGATGCTTAGGTGTAATGATGTTCAATTTTCCGAGATATTCTTGAATCTTTCTGGAGCCCATATGCACTCGTGAAACGTCTGGTGATGGCAGCCATTTTGAATGTGACAAGAGATGACCTCAAGCTGTGACGTCGCGCTTATGCAAATTGCTTGTTGAGCGAGGGCGCGAGTTGCAAATGCGACGGCTGTTTCCTGTGCCGTAGATCCTGAATAGAGATCAGTGCACGTGGCCCCCAGACGATAAATGCATGGTACAGGAAACAGCCGTCGCATTTACAACTTGCGCCCTCGCTCGACAAGCAATTTGCATAAACGCGACGTCACAGCTTGAGGTCATCTCTTGTCACATTCTAAATGGCTGCCTTCACCGGACGTTTCACGAGTGCATATGGGCTCCAGAAAGATTCAAGAATATCTCGGAAAATTGAACATCATTACACCTAAGCATCCCAGAAGTGATAGATGGGACATGGTAGAATACAACCATATGTAAGAAATTCCCTGCAAGTTTTATGAAAACGTCCTCAGTAGTGCGCGGACCACGGTGTGTGGCCTTAGGTTCAGCGCAGCATACCGACGGCCACACTAGTGGGGCTAGGTTGGGAAGAATTTGGGAAGAGTGTGACGAAAGAATCGGGTAGTCCGTAGTTTAGTGTGTGACCGTTGTGTGTGATTGGGAGTGAACCCGTGAATGATGATAATAAAGTAACTGATTTTTGTAGTTAGACGAGTGTTGTATCGTTTTGTGCATACCTGTAGCCTTGTCACATCAAATTTAATTCCATAAATTAATGCAACGATGTACCAGTTGCATTTTTCGGTTTTTTTTTAATCAATGTACCTGTCAGTCAATTAATTGCCACCATTGTCAAACTGACCCAATAGCAACGCTCTGGACTACCATGGATCTGTTCTCGCGGTTCGGTGTCCTAAAAGAACCGGCGGGTTTCAAACCATTGATCAATTGAAAAGCAGACACGCGGGGACATCCGTAGGCCTAGCAATTTCTATTTACAACTGAAATGCTTGGTATAACCATGGAGATATAACACATAACACATCAGGGTTCGAAATTAGCGGTATAGCCCGCTAACCAAATGCTTGTCAAAACAGCGGCGGCCGGGGCTAGACAAACTATTCCTTAACCAGGCCGGCGTGCGAGTGAACAATTATTGGGATACGGCAAAGATCAACGAACAGAGAGAGAAAAAATTCATAAAATTCAAAAAGGAAACCCCTTTAATTTGTGTCTAATTATCAACTGTTTTAAAGGGTTAAATTATCTGATCTGTTAATCAAAAACACCGACAAAATTCCCTCAGAATTGCGCTTGAAAATACGCCATTTTGTATCTGAGATAAGAAAAAAATGCGGGCTAGTAGAAATGCCCGTGGGCCAGTAGCCCGGCAGAAAAGGTAAAATTATGCTGACTGTACCGTACCGAACCTAATTTCGTCTGTCCATGTGAGCCAAACTAATAGTCTTAACTCACGCGTACGAGTTGGTCCGCGTACGAGTTGGTCCGCGTAGGAATCGGTTCGCGTATGAATTGTACCGCGTACGAGTTGGTCGCGTACGAGTTGGTTCGCGTACGAGTTGACCTGTATTCCCTGAACATTAGGGAATTTTCTTTGCATCGGGGGTCAGACAAGTCGACCGTTGAGACAACTCCACTCGGGACAAGTCGACCGTTGAGACAACTCGACCGTTGGGACAACTCGAACGTATGTGTGATAAATGGAAAGACAAGTCGGGAAAGATTTCCATATACAAAGTTCACTAATTTTCCTCTGTATTGACTAACAAGCCCCACGATAGCGATAACATGTCATCAAAGTCAATTTGAGCAGTGAGAAAATACAAGCATTTTCTTAGAAAACACTTAGCATGCTTAGAATTTTTCAGTCCAATCTCATAGGGTTTGTACACAGGGTGTTGAGTGAACTTCGTATATGGAAATCTTTTCACAAGTCAACCGTTGAGACAAGTCGCCTCGCATGTTTTGGGCTAGCCCTAGCCCCACTAGTGTGGCCGTCGGTATGCTGCGCTGAACCTCTGGCCACACACCGTGGTACCGCACGCTACTGAGGACGAAGTTTTCATTAAATCTGTGGTCCATTTCTTACATTTTCAGTTTCTTACTTTCTTATGGTTGTATTCTATGATGTCTCACCTATCACTTCTGGGATGCTTAGGTCTAATGAAGTTCCATTTTCCGAGATATTCTTCAATGCAAATTGCTTGTTGAGCACGCGAGGGCGCGAGTTGCAAATGCGACGGCTCTTTCCTGTGCCGTTGATCCTGAATAGAGATCGGTGCACGTGGCCCGCTGACGATAAATGCATGGTACAGGAAACAGCTGTCGCATTTGCAACTCGCGCCCTCGCGCGCTCGACAAGCAATTTGCATAAACGCGACGTCACAGCTTGAGGTCATCTCTTGTCCCATTCAAAATGGCTGCCATCACCAGACGTTTCACCAGACCCTTCACGAGCGCATATGGGCTCCAGAAAGATTGAAGAATATCTCGGAAAATGGAACATCATTAGACCTAAGCATCCCAGAAGTGATAGGTGAGACATCATAAAATACAACCATAAGAAAATAAGAAACTGAGAATGTAAGAAACGGACCGCAGATTTTATGAAAACTTCGTCCTCAGTAGCACGCGGTACCACGGTGTGTGGCCAGAGGTTCAGCGCAGCATACCGACGGCCACACTAGTGGGGCTAGTTTTGGGCTAGACCCGTGAACGTGGCGTTGTATACAACGCCACGTTGTTGTGTATTTTAAAACCTAGCGAAATCGATCCGACATACATAATTCCGTATGGGTGTTGAGTACTCACCTAGAATTTAGTAGAAATCTAAATTTGCCCGTCCGATTGTTTAGGCTGTGTAATTTCGACGAAATTTGCCCATCAGTAAAGACCCATACGAACGTGTAGAAATTTCATTTTAACCCGACAAGTGACCCTGACAAATGACCCCGGACGAGTCGCTTGGACAAATTGACGGCTGTTTCATGTCGCAACCCCGAAAAAAAAAAACCCGCACCCGATTGGCTGCTTGGCTCATCTCGTGTACGTGTGCGCACACGCACATGGGCGCCCGCGCCGCCTGCGTGCGGTGCGGTGAGAGAGGAAAGGACTTGAAACTTGTCTAAAACGATGTCTCTTTTAGCTGCGACAGTAAACAGCCGTCGAATTATACGAAGGACGGTACAATAAAATGCAATGTGCATGCGTCACTTGGGAGAAAATGGCAGCTAGCAGGACTTCATAAACAGGGGCCAGAATTTTCCTCAAAGTTCGTCAAATGCAAGTTTTGGTGTACAAACAGATTTCAAGACAGCTTCATATGTGAGTACTTATTACATTTGCAAAATAGTGTGTGTAATGGAGGGAGTCAGAGGGACAATTTCGCCAGGTTCAGAAATACACAACAGCGTGGCGTAGTTTACAAGCGTAGTTTGCCGGACCTGTGCGCCCATTTGCCGGTCAACTTGTCCGTACCGTGCACGGTGACATCGTTTTTGCCAGCCCTGTGCGCCCATTTGCCGCAGCCGGTCGACCTGCCCACGTGCCGGGCCCAGCCCGGTCCTCGCAGGCGGGCAGGGCGCACCAGCCTGACGCGACGCCCTCTGTACATCGAGTATGCCCGCGCTGCACCCGTGATCGGTCTTGCCACAGATTGTGCAACTTTTTCTGCTCCACGTGTATTCATTTCCATTAAGTCGAGCAGTCTCAACGGTCGAGTTGTACCGAGTCGAGTTGTCTCAACGGTCAACCTGTCTCAACAGTCGACCTGTCTCAACGGTGGTATATTTAGATTTTTAGGGTGTTTTCTTGATTAAAGAAATCGCTGTTCTTCGGTTCAGCACTGCGTATTGCTGCACAACTCAATTTTATGTGCCTATTTGAATTAAATTTAAGGAGTTTTTACCCCAAATATTTCTACCCTGTAGTAAAAAGTGGATCATACCCACCTCCCACACTCGTAGGCCTATATCATTATGGATTATTCCAGGCATGTGACTGTATAGATGGTTACTATATTATGATATCAGGTTTTGCACTTCGACTTATATAAGTGATATTGATCTACATCAACCCACCACGAATTCCATCTTTTGAATAGTTTAATTACCACACCCGCTGCTACATGTGCATTATTCTCGGCCGAAGACGGGATTTTGATTATTTTCGTCTAAGTGCAGTCGGCATGCGCGCTATACCGACTGAACGTGAATACCGATTGAACGTGTAGTCTTGGGCCGAGACTATATACGTCAGATTCGGACCAGCCAATTTATCCCGCAAGCTCGATGACCGAGTGATAAGACGTCTGCACTAGAAAGCAGGAGGTCGTGGGTTCGAGTCCCACCGATTGATTTTTCTAACTTTCACTCGGGAGGTAACTCACTGACAGTGTTTATGCGTTGGTGAAAGGTACATCCTGATATCGAAGTAAGGGGCCATTCATGATTGAAAATTTGGATTTTTTTCCAAATTGTAGATGGGTGCATGGGTCA